ATGTAGTCAACAACCAAAGTAATTTGATCTGTTGTGATATCTCATATTTGATTTCTCCTTGATTACTGTATGTATCCCAAGATATATTGCTTCCTTTTCACCAGAAGGTGGACAGCCTCTCACGGGAGATAATATCTGACCATGAATTACAAGACACGGAGAAGAAAATGACTGAGATAATTCAATGAAGATATCTGAGATTGCAATGAAAAAAAGATTAATTTTTAAAATTTCAATTTTATTAAATGTTTTAAGAAAAAGAAATGGCTTGTTACTAGTTTTGTGTTATATGGATATCTTTCTTCCCATTTCATAACCCTTTCTAAATGTTTCTTGGGGAAGAATGATGGTTTGGTTCACAACAGGTAAGTAAAAAAATCCAAGACCTACTACTCCAATCGCTTTAGAGAGCCCCTTCTCACCTGAATAGTTTGGGTATGGATAAGGATTAGAGGACAGACCTACACAGGTGATGTACATAGTAGGCATCTGCTGCAGACCAACCTAGCAAAAAGAGGAGGTAGATGAGCTGCTCTTCAGAAAGCTGGAAAATGCCTTATGATTGCAGGCCCTGGTACTTGTGAGAGTTTTGATCATGCTGGTATCTGCTTGAAGGACAGCAAGTTAAGGTCTTAAAGGAGAGCCTCCTTAGAGCACAGGAGGAGTCCATTCCAATGCAAAGCAAGTCAAGCAAATGTGGCATAAGGCCACCTTGGCTGAACACAGATCTCTTGACCAAGCTCCAACACAAAAAAGAAATACACAGAAGACAGAAGAGGGGATAAAGCACTTAAGTGGAACATAGAGACATTTCCTGAGGTAACAAGAATGGAGTCAGAAAAGCCAAAGCTCAGCTACAGTTGAAACTACAGAGGAGCGTAGAGGGCAAGAAGGAGGGCTTTTGGAAGTACATTGGCAGCAAAAGGAAACGCAAGAAAAATGTGGGTCTGCTGCTCACAGGGGCAGGGGAACAAGTGAACAGTGACATGGAAAAGACCTAGGTACTCAACGTCTTTTCTGCCTTAGTTTCCACTGAGGAATGTCACTGTGAGGCTGTTTTATATCATCTTCAAAAGGTCATGGCAACCTTGGCACCTGATGACCGGAAAAAGGCAAACATCACATCCACCTTTAGGAAGGGGAAGGAGGAGGATCCAGGGGAATACAGTCCAGTCAGTCTGTCCTCAGTGTGCGGGAAGATTATGGACCAGTTCCTTCTGGAAGACATGTCCACACATGAAGAAAAAAAAAGGTGACTGGGTTCAGCTAGCATGGACTTATCATGGAAAAATCATGCCTGATTAATCTGACTGCAGTCTCTGACAAGACGACTGGCTGTCTTTCCCTTTTATTCACCACTGGTGCGTATCTGGAGTATTGTGTCCTGTTTTTTGGCTCCCCAATTCATGAAAGACATCAACATACTGGAATGAGGTCAGTGGAAGGCCACCAAGTAGGTTAGGGGACTGGATCACATGATCTATAGCAAAAGTTGTGAAAAGAGGGTTTGTGCAGACATCAAAAAGGAAGGCTAAGGGGAGATCTTATTGCTGCTAACAACTACCTAATTGGAAGGTGTAAAGCAGAGGGAGCCAGACTCTTAGAAGCGTGCAGGGATAGGATGGGAGGCAAAAGACACAAGTTGTAACACAGAGGATTCCAGATACATATATGGAAAAAAGGTTTCCACCATGAGAGTGGCCTAACACTGGAACAGGTCTCCCGGAAAGACTGTGGAATCTCTGTCCTTGGAGATACTCAAAACTCAGCTGCACAAGATCATAGGCCACATGACTTCATTGGCACTGCTTTGATCAGGAGTTTGGACTAGTTGACCAAAGGTGTGAATCAACTTCCTTCTAATGCTAAACATGGTACTTATGATTGTCTCTTTTCAAAAAGTTAGGAGAAGCACTGATAGAAACACATGCAAAACATACATGCCCAAGAATCTTATATCTTTACTTTAGCAGCATCTAAAGGCCCCAGCATGAATCGTGCCTGTCTCAAACAAACGTGTGGGTGACAGTCACAACTTTAGAGAGACTGTGGAATTTGGACTAGTTGACCTTCCCATATCCATTCCAACCTAAATGGAATAACATTATCCAAACAAGCTACCATATAGTACCAAACCATACCTTGCAGAGATAACTGCTTAGCACAAAGCAATTACAGGATATGTCTACAAATTCATATGTAAGTGAAGGCAAGCTGAGGTGACCTGAATTGATGTGACTGTATTAACACATCACCAAGTTTTAATTAATTCTGAATAATTATGAATATAGTTCTGCCCCAGTTTCAAAACCCAGACAAATATACTTCTTTTGAGTACCTGTTCACAGTGCTGCATTGCACAAGTGAGAAATAGAGCTACACAGAAGCAAGTGTACAATGAGTACAGGAGGCTTGCATGGAGTGGTATAGTACAAGACATAGAAATTAAGATATGCAGTGTTAAAGACCCCAATCCTCTACAATATGTATTGGTCAAAAGAATAACTAGTTTTGCCAGTTTGAATATCAAAATTATTGCTTCATAAAGGGCTAAAAGTTCTCCAGAGCACTAAACACAGTATGATGCTTTCTTATATTTTGAAAATAAACCAGTAGCATCTGCTTTATACTTACACTATGCTGTTTACTTTATGTAAACACTGAATGCCAGTAACTGTTAATAAAAAGTGCAGCTATAAACACCCATTAAGAATGTATCAAAAAACTCACTGAAGGGAAAATATCTCAATGTCAAATGTCATGAGTATCTCTTAGTACACCAATAATCCAGAGTTATGATCAAACTTCTGTTTCAACTTTGTCCTTTTCAATACTTCATCATTACACATATGCATTAGATAGTAAATTAAAGTATTAATTACTGTGTCCTACCCTGCATCCTCATTATACTTTAAAACACCCTAAACCAGGGACAGTATGAAGTACGTGACCTACTTACTGCAGTTTGTCTGGCTGTTTCTCATCTCACAGAGAGAAGTTCCACAGGGATCAGGACAGGAAGTACATCTCTGATCTCCCTCCTGACAGAGGGTTTGACCTAAGGAAAACAGAAATTTACTATTCTAATTATTTACCAGACTAATAAAAATGACTAGCATGTAGCGATGAGAAAATAGAGAAATTACATTACAATGAAATCTTTCCTTTACATAGCCGATTAAGTACCCTACAGCATTTCAAGTGCAGTAAGGAAGTGTTGTAAGGAAGAAAAGCGTGCAGTGCAGTCCAGATGTCACTTTTCTTTACCCCTACGTTTAATATAAGAACTTATATCCCAGTTTCTGAATGAGAGGTATGGATGTCTGAAAGCCATTTACCACGATCCTCTGTCAGAGTATGAAAAGTCATGTAAATCAGATTTCAAAGGGAACAATAGGTCCTAGCTAGAGAATACCCTCTGGGAATTATTCTTCAGCGCCATTCAGTTGATCTGCTTCTCATTTTATGATTGTTTTGGTGGACAATAAAAACCATCCTGGAGAAAGGTCGTCAGAGCTGAAGCTTTATTGTTCTTTGGCTGGTTAACAAACAAACAACAAGAAGAAAACCCAAAAGGCTATGGTCCTAAAGATGGAATTCAGAATAACTAAAACCAGCACTTCATCAAAAAGTTTCTGAGCACATTACCTGGGTAGTTAGTTTCTCTTACAAATCCCTGGACTTCTCTCTGTCTCATAGTGATGATAGGTCCTTTCCAAACCATTAAATTCTCTCTTCCATATGACTTTTGCAAAATAATTTGATTTACTATTCTGTACACAGAGACTGAACAGTTTGGATTTTATCATCTCATCCTGTTTAAAATGGTTTATTGCAACTATTGTTTAGTGTTTGTATTGCACCATAGTCCACGAACATTAATCATTTAGTCATGGTATCCTTATATTGGGTATACAGAAGATGCTGAAGAAACATCTTGTTTCAATGACCTAGACAACAACGTTGTCCCAAAGAACTGACGATGTAGTCACATCTATTCATAATTATGTGGATTTACTTTTCTTCATACATGTTATATATTGAAGCAATAGAGGTACTTTCTTTTGCTGTAGCAATTGACTGTCTTATCTTACAGGTGCACCTGATTGCAAAATGGAACTTGAAAAGTAGGGAAAAGCTTTTGACTTCTAAAGCTATCACAAATCTTTACATTAAAATTCATTTTTAAAGTTTGCCCCAACTCCTTCTTATCCCACAGTGGAAGTGTTTCTCAGCTCTTAAAAAACCTCTGTGCTACAGTGTAGATTATTTTCATCCTAGCACAGTCAATGCTGAATTTCTATAAATACGCTCTACCTTGTCTTTCGAAGGGATCACAGAACCAGCTGTGAGTATATCTATATTAGATTTCTATTGTCACAAAATGAATGACAGCAGTAATGTTAATAGATGCCACACATTAAATTTCCTTAAGGTATGTAGCAAAGGAGACCATTTTTCTCATTCAGATGTAGATGAAGCAGTGGTCATTTGTAATCCCTATATATATACTTGTACTATAACACAAGGTACCAGTAACCTCATACAGGCAAGTGGCAAGTCACCACATCTTGACCTCAAATTTCTATGCTGATTTCACATATTTATTGTGTTTGTAACAAAACCAATATTCCAGATCACTTCAGCCCTAACTTCACTGCCTCGGCTAGACAAATTGTTTGATTTGTAGAGCAGAGCAGTCTTTGTATTAAGTGTATGTCCTGTTGCATTTTCTGTAGTTGTTGAAATCAACAACATACATAAGAAATACAAAGGACAGTTACAAACAAGAATTCTGCCTTGCTTTTACATGGACTTTGCAAGGAACTAAAGAGGAATAATCTAAATAAAGTCCAAATTCTGTCTACATATTATTATGTAAATTTAGGACGGACAGGATATGGTTGCATACAGGAAGAATTTCACTCTACATAATATTGCAAAATATTAGATAGAGTTTTTTGTACATTGAAGAATTAATAATAGGAACAAGGAAAATTTCTGTATTCAAAAGCTTTGCAGTTTAATGCTAAGCATAAAAATCTTTTAGCATATAGTGAGATCATTGACTACATAATTATCACCCCATCCTACTACTCTGCATTTAGTATCCTTGAATTTATATCTTTTCAACCTATCAAAAAAAAAGATTTTTAACTATTACTTGAACATCCACAGAGGCAAAAAGCAGTGAAAACAAAACATGTCACTGGCTTCTAGCCCAGATTATGCATCAACATTTTCAGTGAAATTCTCTTTTACTAGTGATAAACAAATTTAGGAGACTTAAGTAAGGTGAATTTTAAAAGTTGCAATGGTTGCTTATAGAATGCTCTAAATAGTTTTGTACTTTTCAGTTTATCCCATTCTCCTGCCTCATCTCTTTTTTATATTAAAAATGATAGTTTCATTATCAGCAAGAGAAACAGAGGATCATAGAATTCATAGAATAAGACTGAGGCTGGACATCAGGAAAGATGAAGAATAAAAACTGAGCATTTTGTGAGATTGCACAGTCAGAACTGGAAGAAATTTCATGCAGGGCCTTTTTGCAACGTCAACATTAATTGCAAAGAAGAATAATGGAAATTTCTGTGTTTCAACTTCTCAGGTTTTTTTTGGAATGGAGATGTTTAAATTGAAGCAGGAAGATCCTGAGAACTTAATATGAACAGAAGGGACTGAGTAGACAGGCTTGTGAAAGGATTTCCTCTAGACTGGTTTCCTGAAGAATTGACGCTTATATAATCACATTATGTATTTGCCTTATGATAACAGGTCTGCTCTACTTTAATAACTTTTGAATAGGTTGTCCTATTACCACTACATCTGACAGCACTAGAGTTTTCTAAATAAAGTGAATTACTTTAATTTCTTTTAAAAAAAGATTTGTAAGAGAAAGACATTCATAATTCTCACATTGAAGGAAAGGCTGCAATCTGAACATATACCTTACCAGAAACAAGAGAATTACATGTGAAAAATACATTCAAATGCTGAAATCATCACAACACGACATTTCTTTCTGAGTGTCAAAATGTACCACAGGACAGAAGTCTTTGGGAAACCATGTCCCAGGGCTCAAGAAACTGCCTGCTTTCCTTTTCTTTCCTACAATCCATCATGAGACAGCCATTAAGTAGCTGTGAAAACTTACATTCTCATATCTTTTCCCTTAGTCACATTAAATCATTGGTTTGCTTCTGCAAAATATCTTCTTTGATTCCCAAGTTCTGATGAAAAAAGGATTTTCATGAGAAAATTCCTCCTCAAACACCACCAATTCCTGTGATAGTAGCTTCTAATTACTGCAGACAATGTGAATGTGTATTGTATTAATTTATTTCAAGTAACAGCTGATCATGTCAGATAACCAAACACTATACTAAACGTCCATTTCTTTAACTTTTCATATTTTTAAAGGCTAATAAAACTCTGCTTACAACTTCCTGTCTGAAAGCAGACACCAACCAGCCTCAGCAAGTGTTATTTGAAAGACAAAGAAAGTAAATTTGTCAGACAGCTTTAGCCAAAGGCACTTCGGAACAAAGCACTCAATAGTAGGTTCAGTAAGAAGAGTAAAATGAGGGATATCCTTACTTTCACTGCAGTTTTCTTCATCACTTCCATCTTTACAGTCATTATCTCCATCACACTGGAATGCACTGGGAATGCACTGCCCATTTCTGCACTCCACCAGACCTTGACTATGACACGCTTGAGAGAAAAAAAAATGATATTCTGATCAACTTAGGTTAATGAAGATCTTAATTATTTTTTAACATCATCTTGAAGTTATTTTAGGAGGAGCTGATAACACTGCTTAGTACTGAAGGTCACTAGACATTTCTCATTATATGTAACCTATGTTTTCAATAGTCTACAGCTGTGCTGATCTTTAACTACAGGGTCTGAAACTATCTATGTCGGGTATTAGCAACAGGCTGAGAAGAAGATTTCCACTTTTCCAAGGAAAAAAAAAAATCATTTTTACTCATATAAAAATTGTCACCTTTTCTTTGCCCACTTACTGACATTCCTTTACTCAGATTAGGTTCTTAGATTTCAGGGAAAATTGTAGGGTAGTGGTTGCAAGGTCAAGCACTGAATAGCAGCAAGAATCAAAGCAGCATTATCACGTCTTATGAGAATGTTAGTCACATTAAAACAAGTGCCAGTTCCCCAAGACTTGATTTTGCAATCTCAGCAATATTCTAGTATAGTTATTTTGCAGATATACACCATCATCGTTAGAGCACACAGAAGTCCAGACCCTGACACAAGGTGTGATAGGTCACATACAGACACATCAGAAAGCTGTCACAAACTCAGAATGCCTACAGTTTAAGAGGTTATATACATTCATTCACAATTAACAAAAAGTTAATTTTGTAATCAACAAGAAGCTGAAACACAAGGTAATGCTGGTACTTCTCAACAATGCCAATAAATGTTTCATTTGCTGCAACTGTCTACTAGAAGGGATATTTGTCAAGTGTGAACCTCTGAAATCAAATAAGCTTATAGTTTTGCCTGACAAATAATAAGTAAGTATACTACTTATTTTATAATTTGTTTTTACTTTTTAAAGAAAGAAAAAACTAATTTAGAGATTAAGGGAACTTACAGCAATTGATTTCATCTGATTTGTCTATACAGTCATGGTCACCATCACATACCCAATCAGCTGTTATACATCTCCCATCTCCGCACTGATGATGTGTCACTGGATTACAATCTAAATAAAATGCAAATTTCAGGACAAAAAACCCAATGATAATAAGTTACCATTTGTATAATTTATGTTATTGATCAATTGTTCTGTGCCTATAAGCTAACCATTCTTACTAATGAGCCATTTGCATTAGTAAATTACAGTAAGAGATGGTATTTACATATGTTCTAAATTCTACTGCCTATATAGATAGATATGCACTCGTTCCTTCTCTCAGGTGCACAGTTGTTTCCATTTGCAAATAAACTGGTTTCTAAAATTTGTTAAGCAGATTAAAAGATCTTCTGGCTTCCAATCTCATGGAATGATTTTCAGTTAGCCAATATTTTCAGTTGCCATCAAAGAAAATCATTCTGTACATTTATCTTTTTACTAAGAAGTAAAAGAAAAAAAAGTTTCTCAATTGCCATACTTGTCACTTAATCACAAACTATGTTTTTTGCATACACTCAGAATTTTCCATAATTAACTTCTTTCTACAAAGAAACTATTCCAATCTTCGTCTTACTCTTTCTGCCTGAATGCTTCCACAAATAAAGAAAAGCGTTCTGTTGAGTAGGCTGACTTTACACCAAAATAAATAGGGAGCATAGACACAGTCCCATCTGCCAGATCTGCTATGAAACCCATTTATAGCCTGTACAAAAAAGTTAGATCTTAAATTTTACATAGAAAAAACTATCTCAAGATAGAAATGGTAGGAGTCAGATTAATGTTTAGAAAAGTCTTTAATCAAAGATGGTTCATGAAAAAAAAAACACAAAACAAGCAAAACTGACAAAAAGTAGTGAAAGATCTTAGAGTATGTTTAATTTGGAGAAGAAAATAAATCTTAGAAAAATTTGTGCCTTGATTTTCAGTTTTGAAATTCTCTGTGCTTTTCCTTAGAAAAGCAAAAGAAAACAGTGAGATATTTTAACTTGTAAAGAATTATTTTAGAGCACTTAATTTTTCTCAGGTGTAGTACCAGGAGCAAAAGTCAGAAAAAAAGCTTTCAAAGTTTTCCAAAATTTACATGTGAAGATTATTCTTTTTTATGACAAAACTTCATTTTTCTCCTACGAAAGTTAAGTGTAGGTAGAAAGACAAATATAAGGAGGCAGAACATACAAAGGCAACTGAAAAGAGAATTTGAAAGAAACAGAATTGGATCATCAAAACATATGAATTCACTATGAAGCTTATGTAAAAACTGTTCAGCTATAGCAATTAGCATCACCATTGTGTAGCTTCTTATGGTTTGCTTTAATCTCATTTAAATTCAGTCAAGTTAGCAAGAAAGCAACCATAACATCTTGAATTAGTTTAAAACAAATTGCAAATCAGAATATTTCTTCAAAATGCCACTAACTTCAAAATTTGGATTAACTCAGAACTCTCGTTTAAACCTTTTCAAATTGCACATAGAATTTGCGAGCTGTTTCTATTTTGCCCAGAAAGAATAGCAGCAGGGTATAGTACTTTTTCAGTAGTTTAAGGAAAAAGATTGCTGCCTTAGGCAATATTGCTATCTTAAAGACTTTACAAAAGCATAAAACTTTAATTTACCACAGTTCTGTTCATCGCTAAGATCTCCACAGTCATCATATCCATCACAAACAAAGGTATAATTTAGGCATTTTCCCGTGTTGCAACGAAATACATCACCACTGCAGTCTAGAAAACAAATTTTTGTAAAATGTTAACATGGCATTGGAACATTCATATAGACTATGGCTACTGGAATGTATTGACTGAAACAAGATTAGCTAAAGATACCGTACAATTTACAGGTCTGCATTAATAGTTAATGTGTACCCGTTTTTATTAGAGGCTAACATGGAAGAACAAGAAAAATCAAAAGCAATTTTTAGACGTTTTTATTCTGTACCTACCAAATGCTTTTTTGATCAATACCATGAGGAGAACATGCTCTGGTTACACACGTGGATAAAAATGTTTAATTAATTTATACACATAAAGTCCTCAAGAAAGGCTGCGAGTTTCATCGGCTAGATTACTAGGACAGTCTTGAGCATCTGATGCAGCTATTAGGTGGAACTGAAGCCTCTAACAGCAAAATCAAGATCCCCAGACCCTGTTTTTGAGCCTGCCTTTGATCTTACAATGGTTTCAAATGAGCTTTATGCAAGTTTTGAGATCAGAATTTGGCCTGATGCTGTCTCGTCAAGGAATTCTTAGCACTGTCAGCCCTAAGTGGGTTTAGCCTTTCTTCCCGTGGGTGAGGCCTTCACTAAAGCCCTGATAAATATTCTCTGAGAATATCCAAAATGCTTGAATAGTATCAGGTTCGATAAAAACATGGACTCTACACCGTAGTTAGGCAAGGTGGCAGAAGAGAAAATACTGTTGGTGGTGTCTAGTCCCATTAGTAATAACTTTTGATTATAAACACATAGTTGGGAAGTGGATGACCCAGATCCACTGCCTTCCTCTAGGCTTTTCCAAGGAGAATGCCAGGATATAGAACAGTTGGGTGGACAACCCCTTCTTCCTACTGAAGCTATGCTGCTGGAACCAAGGAGTTTCTTTGTGCCCTTTCTTCCTGGTGTATGTTGACATTTTAAATGAGCTCTGTCCTGGACTACATACAGAAAGAGCTCCAAGAGCAGGACTGGAACACGTCTTTCCTCTCACCTTTGATGCTCAACCACTAAACAACAGAATCATGCTACTGCTTGCTTCTCTCTTGGCGTGTGACTCCTGTGTTCAGGATTTCACAGTGGTGTTACTTTGAAAGAAGGGTGTCCTTCTAAGTATATTACACACTGAAAGGTGCAGCACTCTCCCAGAAGGTGCAGTTGGGTTTCCATCACTCCAGATCAATGTCAGCCAAGTGTTCAACCTCCTAGGTGACTGCTCTAAGTTTCGCTTTACTAGCCTCAACTCTAGACCTTGAACATCCATCACTTGTTACCCTTCCCCCCAGACGAATTCTACAAGTTTCCCATCATCTTAGAAAGTTCAAACAGAATTTATAGCACAACTCAAAGGACAGTGCTTCAGGACATAAAGTAAAATAATATGGCTGAGCCATGAGCTTTTTAGTCAATAGTTAATTTAGCTTTAAAAGAACAAAAGGCATGAAACAGTAAATACCAAAAACCCCAAACTAAATGAGAATATTTAAGTTCTAGTTTCATGTAAGCAGAACAATAGCCAGCTGAGAGTAAAATCCTAAACATTACTTGTTCTGAGTATGCAACAGCATAAAGTACTCTGGCAATCTTTATCCTTATTGATCAGTTTGTAACTCTGACAGCTTCTACGTTTCCATTGCTCTTCATGCAAATGAAACAAAGCTGTCTTTTTCTATGTTTTTTTCCTCTGGATAAGTTTACTGTTTAATCTCCATCCATGCCTCCATTTCAGTTTACATTCACACCTCTGTAGCTGCAGCAGTGTCCTTTAGGGTACAGCAGCTCTCAGGCCCACACAGACAGGGTAAACAAAAAGAATACAAACTTCCTTGCAAGAAAGTAAGATTCACTTGATGAAAATCTAAGAGTCTTAACATACTTTTTCTTCAAGATATTGGCAATAATATATAGTATAGGGTGGCTGATTACTTCCATCAGAATAAGATGGGCACTTTGCAGCTGCCATTTGTAAAATGCTCAACTTAAATTTTGTTAATGATGGGACAAGCCCAGTTTTCATAAAATTAAATACAAATTCCTGTTCTATACCCCACTGAACAAAAATAAAGCCCGGTCAATCTTTTGCATTCAGCAACTCTTTGATCTCTGTTCATGCATATCCTGTTTTCGCCACTTCACTTCACATGTGTTCCTCTGACCGTGAGTCACCTCAGCCCAACACTCAAAGGTGATTTTAGGAGTCCTACATTTTAAAGATGTATGTTTAAAGATATATGTGCAGACTCAATGTACAAATTCTGCCACTTCTAGGAGTAAATAAGACCTTAACTCAACACAACGCTCTGTTCTGGAGTCTGGCATGCAGTGGCACATGTGTGTAAACATTTTCTTTTGTATTTTATAAAATGGTCTTCATCTTGTTCAGGCTTTGTGAAAGAGAAGTATAACGGAGAAACTCATATAAGGAGGAAGACGAAGTGAGTGTATGTATTAGGGAAGTGTGTGTGTAAGTACAGCCAGAGGGAGGTATGAGAGCCTGTTGCATTTGGTACATTACATGTAAAACTTGCTCATCAGGATCCTTCTGACAGTTCCAAGTTTCAGTACTGATAATTTATGCCTTTGTAGATCAGCGTTACGGCTCCTTTCCTGTTCATATGCCTATGTGATAGCTAGCTGAGCTGAACTCCGACTCCTCAGCTGGCACCTTCCATTGCACAAAGTCACAGAATAAATGATATAAGCAACATGATGAAATCCTAGATAGCAGTTTTCGGCTGCAGCTGTGTAAAAAAGTGACATTGTTAAGTAAATTAAGTTATACTTTCAAAAAGAGGGATGGATTCTGCTAAAGCCTAACTATTGCCTGCATACTTATTATGGCCCATCAAAGGGAAGAAGAGAAAAAGGCATGTCAAGAGCCAAGAACAGAAAAGTGATTGCATTATGTGATCAATTTCTTGATGCAGAATACTGAAAGGAGATTCTAGGAAGAACTATTAATATGAAAAAGATTAAAACCAGAGAATTCTACACTTTCAACATTAAAACTAAGGAGGCACAGCTGTAAGATTCACTCATCTAACTTTAGACATCTACATCATTTAGTTTCTAAAGCACATAGCCCATTTAAATTATCTGCTCAAAATCAGACAAATCATGCATCAGAAGTGTCTGTTTCTCTCAGTTGATTCTCCATACAGCCAGTTTAGACATTTAGCTCAGATAAAGTTACCTGCACAGAGACAGACATCTCCCTCCCTAATGTATGTAACTTCATAACTAAAAAACAGTGACAGCTCTCCAAGTTGGTAGAATCTAAAACAAATATAAGAAGTCCTGTATTTTGGGATTGCAGATGGGGGAAGCTTCAACAGGAACCTGGACATCCCAGGATAATGTCTTTACATTTTTTAAATCTGGAATTATGAACAAACCTGATTTAGCAGAACCTTTAAGACCAAAGTTATTGAGGTGAATGGGCTTCATCTTTTGTCACTTCATCCTGCAATCGAAGGAGTTGATCACAGCATTACAAGCACCAATCAATGCACCCACCAGGTTACTGGAACTGGCGCTGACGCGGCAGACAAGCAAGCCGCACTCCTATTACTGCAGCTGCGTTTTCTTTAACAAAAATGGGGGAGGAAATGTAGAGATGGATAAAAGAAATATTAAGATTAATATGAATTAAATATGAAAGGAAATATGTGTGTGCATGAAGGCATCAGAAGCAAGAGCAGAACAAGATTTAAAGGAATGCTATATGTTAATTGCTACAGAGCACTGTAAGTGTGACTTCATTTAAATGATCAGGCAGCAAGAAGTTGACTAACAACCTGACCCAAAGATAAGGAAACAAGAATCACAGAATCATTTAGGTTGGAAAAGACCCTTAAGATCATCCAGTCCAACCGTTAACCTCGCACTGCCGAGTCCACCACTAAACCACGTCCCTAATCATCACATCTACACGTCTTTTAAATACCTCCAGGGATGGTGACTCCACCACTTCTCTGGGCAGCCTGTTCCAGTGCCTGACAAACCTTTTGGTGAAGAAATTTTTCCTAATATCCAGTCTAAACCTCCCCTGGAGCAACTTGAGGCCATTTCCCCTAGTCCTATCGCTTGTTACTTGGGAGAAGAGATTGACCTCCACCTTGCTACACCCTCCTTTCAGGTAGTTGCAGAGAGCAATAGGGTCTCCCCTCAGCCTCCTCTTCTCCAGGCTAAACAACGCCAGCTCCCTCAGCTGCTCCCCATCAGATTTGTGCTCCAGACCCTTCAACAGCTTCGTCGCTCTTTTCTGGACTCGCTCCAGCACCTCAAGGTCTTTCTCATAGTGAGGGGCCCAAAACTGAACACAGCACTCAGTGCAGAGTACAAAGGGATGATCACTTCCCTAGTCCTGCTGGCCACACTATTCCTGATACAAGCCAGGATACTATTGGCCTTCTTGGCCACCTGGGCACACTGCCAGCTCACATTCAGCCACAGCCCCAGGTCCTTTCCCGCCAGGTAGTTTTCCAGCCACTCTTCCCCAAGCCTGTAGCGTTGCATGGGGTTGTTGTGACCCAAGTGCAGGACCCAGCACTGAGCCTTGTTGAACCTCATACAGTTGGCCTCAGCCCATCGACCCAGCCTGTCCAGATCCCTCTGTAGAGCCTTCCTTCCTTCAAGCTGATCAACTTGATGTCATCTGCAGACAGATTGGTGTCGTCTGCAAACTTACTGAGGGTGCACTCGATCCCAAAGATCAAGAACAACCCTGGAGACACAAGGAAAGCAAATAAATGTAAGTCTCAAGAATATTTTCCAAAAAATACTCAATCTATAAGACTGTAAAATGCTTGTCGGAAGAGTAAATCATCACTACCAACGAAAAAGAAACCAAGACATTATGAGGACACAAAAGCCAGTGTTTTTCACTGTCAAAAACAAGTCATTCTGGCCAGACCACTTATGTACACACTGGTGTGAGGCAATTAAATCAATGAGATTGAGTGCAAGTGAGTGAAATAAGTTTTGTTTAGGATACATACAGCCTTTCTTCTC